GTGCGCTGGTGCGTGTGCGCTGGTGCGTGTGCGTGCGTGTGTACGTGTGCGTGCTGGTGCGCGTACGTGCGTGTGTTGGTGCGTGTGTGCTTGCGTGTGCTTGTGTGTGTGCGCGCGTGTGTGCGCTGGTGCGTGTGTATGTGTGCGTGCTGGTGTGCGTGTGTTGGTGCGCGCGCGCTGGTGCGTGTGTGCTGGTGCGTGTGTATATGTGCGTGCTGGTGTGCGTGTGTTGGTGCGCGCGCGCTGGTGCGTGTGTGCTGGTGCGTGTGTGCTTGCGTGCGCATGTGCTTGTGTGTGTGCGTGTCGGGTGTGCGTTATGGGCTACAGCCCATAGGCAGCTCGTGACACATGTACACATGGACCGCCTGCGAGGTGGGGGTGGGGGGGGTGGGGGGGGCTGCAGGGTCGGGGGGTGGGGGGGGTGGGGTGGGGGGGCTGCAGGGTCGGGGGGTGGGGGGGTGTGGCGTGTGTTAGTGTTTCCGTGGGGAACGCCGTCGGATTCTTACCTCCGGGGTTCACCGGCAGCGATCGACCCCCCGGGAGACACGAGGCGGAGCTCACGGTCTGCGCGGTGTCGGAGTCATGAGGACCCCCAACCCCACCCCAAACCCCCCCACCCCCCGCCCCCCGCACCATACCTGCCACTCCGCGAGCCTCGCCCTCTGCTGGGTGCTCACACATCACAGCCCGGAGCGTCACTAATAATAACAATAATAATAATAACAATAATAATAATAATAATCCTTGCATTTGATATAGCGCTTTTCACGTCGGGAGGACGTCCCAAAGCGCTTCACAGAACACACTGTAAAGTGAATTGACTGTATATTTGTGGGCGAACGCGGCAGCCAATTGCGCACAGCAATGTCCCACAAACAGTCGTGGATTGAAAATGACCGATTTATTATTGTTTTTGGTTTTGGAGGGATTATTATTAGGCTCTGTGTGGAGTAAGGAAACTTGCCCAAGGTTTCGCCCTCTGCCTGGAATTGAACTCAGGTCTCTCACTCGCAAAGCGAGTGCTCTAACCACTGAGCTACAGGACTCCACGTGATCCTCGCATTTGATATAGCGCTCTTCACGTCTTCTCGACGTCTCAAAGCGCTTCGCAGAATAGACTGTAAAGTGAATTGACCGTACATTTGTATACACTTCACGTATTAGGGCCTGCGCTTGCACCAAAGTAATCACCGCTATTGAGCACTTTATCAGAAATTCAATCAGATTAATCCCAAAATAGCTTCTGGGTCATCCACAAGATCTAACTCTCCACACAGGATGTGGTTTAACAATGGTTGGCTTTTCCACTCGCACAGGCCTTTGCCCCTAACCCTCAGACCTGATAATACAGAAACATGAGTAATGCTCAAGACCACTTCTTTAGGAGTCTTTCTTTGCAAAGGGAGAATGACAACCACAAAATTACACGTATAGAGCGCCTTTCACGTCGGGAGGACGTCCCAAAGCGCTGAACAGACAGGTGTCGGGGCCCGAACATGGGGGAGGGGGTGGTGTAGAGGTGAGGGAAGGCAGAGAGGTGGGAGAGTGACCAAAGGCACGGTCGAAGAGAAGGGTCTTGAGACCGGCCTTGAAGGAGGAAAGGGAGGAAGCGAGGGGAAGGGACTGTGGGATGGAGTTCCAGAGTGTGGGGGCAGATGGTAAGGCGGGTCGGGCGGGAGACATGGAGCAGACCGGAGCCCACTGAACAGAGGGAACGGGCAGGTTGGTAGGAAGTCAGCAGGTCAGAGAGGTGGATGGCCTTGAAAGTGAGGACAAGGATCTTGAACTCGATCCTCTGAGGGATGGGGAGCCAGTGGAGTCGGGCGAGGGTGGGAGTGATGGGGTTGCGGAGCACACGAGTACACAAACTGCAGAGTTTTGGATGATCTGAGGGTGAAGGAGCCGGTTGGTGGTGGAGAGCAGGAGCCTGGGGTTGCCCTTCGCCTCCAGGATTAACCTGGAATAGAAGGACGATTTGGCCGAGGCGAGGGACGAGCGGTAGGTTTTGATGAGGTCCAGCCAGATATGGCGGTGGCGGATTTGAGCCAAGTGCGTTCGGCAGCCCGCATCTGGCCCTTAAGCGAGCGGAGGTGGCTGGTGAAGCAGGGTGCGGATCGGGAATAGGAGGCAGTTCGGGAGGTGAGAGGGGCAAGGGCGGCGAGTGTGGTGAAGAGGGTGCTGTGGAGAAGAGTAAGCGCAGTGAGTGGGTTGGTGCGAGAGGTGGGCCAGAGTGGGAGGAGTTCGGAGGACTCCAGGACAGCGGAGATATGCTTCATGACAAAAATGTCTCAAAGCGCTTCACAGAATACACTGTAAAGTGAATTGACTGTATTTTGTGGGGGGCGAAACGCGGCAGCCAATCGCGCACAGCAGTGTCGCACAAGCAGTCGTGGATTGAAGTGACTAATTTTTTGGGGGGGAGTAAGGAAACTTGCCCAAGGTTTCGCCCCGCCAGGAATCGAACCCAGGTCTCTCGTTTGCAAGGCGAGTGCTCTAACCACTGAGCTACAGGACTCCAGGGAAAGGGTAGATAAATGTGACTGGAAGTACAGGATAGCACGAATGGCTTTCTTCTACGCCGTAAATTATAAAAAAAGATTGTTCTTTAAAAGAGGCAGCACATTCTCCTGTGCTGTAAATTTCTACCCTTTCATGATTCTCTCAATCAAATCTGCTCCTCCTGCGTGCATCTTGGGTTGTCTCCAGCTCTGTTGTCTCTTTCTTGGCTCACTTCCAGAGTTATCTGTGTGTCAAGCGGATCGTCACACTTTTCCACCAACCAAACGCTAAGGCGACTGTTCCCTGGGAACAGACCTACTCAATTAACAGAAAGCAGCAGCAGGAATTCTGATCAATTTAGGGGCAATAGTAATCCTACAGCAATAATAATCCATGCATTTGATAATAATCCATGCATTACAACATCATTGAGACGTCTCAAAGCACTTCACAGAATATACTGTGAAGTGAACTGACTGTGTATTTGTGGGCGAAACGCGGCAGCCAATTGCATGCAGCAGTGTCCCACAAACAGTCGTGGATTGAGTGACCAAATTATTATTATTATTTTTTCGAAGGGATTATAACTCCCGGTAAAAGCGATCCACCAATCGACTAACAACCTGGTTTTCTGTTTACTGCTAGGTAAACAGAGGAGTTTGGAGTAAGGAAACTTGCCTAACATCTGACCCTGCCCGGGAATCGATCATAGGTCTTCTCACTCGCGAGGCGAGTGCTCTAACCACTGAGCTACAGGATTCCAATTAAGGGAGAAATGTCTGTGTGGGTAGAGTAATAGTTGGAGCAGAGCAATAGGTGGAGAAGGGATTAAAAAATAGGAAGCATTTTGAAGTGGCAATGAATGCAACGTCTCTTGACGATAGTAATGATCTGGACTTTGGAATGGAGGGAAAAATATCAATTTGTTCCCAGACGGTGTCTCGATAGGCTGCGATTTGCGTTTCCAAATTTTTCCCAACAATGTCAAGCTCTGCCCCAAAAGAAAAGTTTTAACAACTTTACAGAGTTATAAATGTGGCGATTACAGGCTTTATTCCAAATATATGTACAGGGCATTTGCTACTGCCACACAGCACAATGAACATTTTCACAACTTTCAGAAAGGACAGTCAACTAACATACAAAAACGCTGACCATTTCGTCGTGAAGCATATCAATATTTCTGCACAGCATCTGAAATATAATTAGCAAATGTCATATTAAATGTTAGGGTCCTGAACGATACAACTTATGTTGGGTTTTACTGTTTTCTTTAACATTTGAGTGGCTGAGTTGCTCGATTCCTACAGGGTATTGACTAACGGTACAGTGGTGGGATGCAGCATTGCAACTATCTGAGCACAGCAGATCATTGATTTATGCCTCCTACCCATCTGGCTTCTTATGTATGGATATGAGCAGGAAAAAAATTTCTACACACGCCCCATTGCAATTTCTTTCCAAACTGACACACCTCAAGAATGTTAGCAAATTTAATAACTGTACCAAAAAAAATATACTTTAATGGCAACAGAACGGATGGAATTCGCAGAGTAACGTTGCGCCCGGCCATAAATCAGCAGTTCATGAGGCGCAATCAAGGTTTTGACAGTGCTACCAAGTGTTTTTTGCGCCAAGGCACTCTGGAATTTCGTACGCTGTCAAAAAAGGAAATGTGTTACTCAACGCTTAAAATTCCTTCATTAACTCCTTTGCCATCACACGGAAATTTCAAAACCTTGGTAAGGCTCTTCCTTATTCTTTTGAATGTGAGCAGCTTCCACGAGCTTAAGGATATTTCCACACCCCCAGCACTGATGTGGAGCATCAGCAGACTATACAGGCTATAAGTCCCCACGTGGGGCTTAAACCTACAACCTTCTGATTCGGAGTGCTACCAACTGAGCTGGGCTGACACAGTGTTACTGGGTTTCACAAGCCTAGTTCAGAACAGACACAAGGAAGGCATTAAGGCTGGAGTGGGTTACCAGCAGTGGGGGGGGGTGTGCTTCAGGCTGAGGTGCTGGATTGATTTACGAGGCAGATTGATGCTGCAATGCGAAAATTAGGTGGGGTTTCTGGAAGGATGAATCTGCACAGTACAATGTTATTCCCCTGAGTGCTTGATGAATTCACAGTATAATAATAATCCTTGCCTTTGATACAGCAACTATCACTTCGTTGGGACATCATAAAGTGCTTCATGGGATATACTCTAAAGGAGAGTGACTGTGCATTTTGTGGGCGAGTGCGGCAACCAATTTGCACCCAACAATGTCCCATAAACAGCCACAGAGAGAGTTACTGATTTTTATTTGGGGGATTTGTTGGCCAAGACACTGGGAGAGAGAAACTCCCTTCTCTTTTCGAATAGTCCTTGGGCTCTATAACCCTCAACAGGCAGACAGGACCTCGGTTTTAACGTGACATCCGAAGGACGGTACCTCCGACAAAGAAACACACCCCGGCACTGCATTGGAGCGACAGCTTAGACTATGTGATTCCAAGTCCCGAGGTGGGGCTTGAACCCACAACCTTCTGATTCGGAGTTGAGAGCGTTACCGCTACACCAGGCTGACGCAGAGTATAGTGTGCAGTGAGTGCTGCGAACGCACAGAGTGCAGGGGTTATCTGGTCCCGAGGGTGTGCTTGGGGTTCACTGAGACGCACGGGCTGAGCTGGGTGTCAATCGCTGCATCGCCTCTGGGGGAGTTTCTTTGCTGCGTTGACAATGAACATTGCGGGAACTTTTGCCAAAGTTTAGCTATTAACAAACAATTCTCGGAAGGCGCTGCGAGACGCTGTCTGTCCGGCGTGAAGGGCGCTATATAAATGCGAGTTGTTGGAGTTGTTGTTGTCGTTCTTGCGTTTCCTTTATGGTAATGGTGTTGGTGGAACCAGAGAGCTGCACTCTCAGTCTGTGAGGTGGGCACAGAGCTACCCTGGGACAGTGGTTGGTGTCCAGCTGTGCTGCACCATATCGCTGACTGTCGTGGGAGTCTGATGATGCTGTTCCTATACGCAGCACTTGTTTTTCTGAGCAGCTGATGTCAATATCTCCACCGCCGGCTCCTCCACCACTATCTCCTTAACCTTCTGCTCCTGTTTTTCCAATAGCCTTTGGGAGAAGGAAAGGTGAGTTTGAGCAGGTGGACCCTCGGTGAGAAGCAGCTGCATAATGCGCTCACTGCAAATAACAGCTGACGTTCATTTACACAGCGTCTTTCACATAAAACATCTCAAAGTACTCAACGTATAATAATAATCCTTGCATTTGCCTTTCCCATCAGGAGGATCTCCCAAAGCCTTCACAGGATATACTGTTAAAAAACAATTTGGTCACTCAATCCACGGTTGTTTAGGGGACGCTGCTGTGCGCAATTGGCTGCCACGTTTCACCCACAAAATGTACAGTCAATTCACTTTATAGTATATGCTGTGAAGCGCTTTGACACTTCTAGAAGCCTTGATAAGGCGCTGTATCAAATGCAAGGATTATTATTATTAAAGTGGAGTGACTGTGTGTTTATGGATGAAATGCTGATCACATGGTGATTCTGTTATAACATGCCCTGCTTACGGCGCTTTGAGGTGTTATTCATGTGAAGGGCGCTATATAAATGCAAGTTGGTATTGTCGTTGATGGTGGTGGTTAAGCGTGAGTCTGCTTACAGAGCTTAGATGTACGGTACACTCTTGGTCTCTAGTGCTGCCTGTCTGGTTTAGATGTGACTCCACCGAGAAACAGAACAGTACAAAAATAACAACTTGCATTTATATAGCACCCCTCACGCAGGGTGGCGTCCCAGGGCGCTTGAGGGCAAGAGGACATGGGTTTAGAATTGCAAGGGCAATTTAAGAACTGACGCCAGGAAGATTTTATTTACCCAGTGGGGTAAATTTACCCAGAGATTTCATCCACAAAATATGCAGTCGGTTCACTTTACAGTATATTCTGTGAAGCGCTTTGGGACGTCTCGAGGACGTGACAAGGCGCTGTATCAAATGCAAGGATTATTACTATTATTATTATTATAATTAACAACTGGAACAGGTTGCCGGGAAGGATGGTGGAGGCCAGGACACCGGACTCATTTAGAAAAAAAAGGCTTGATTCTGTGATGGGAGGATGATCTTGTGGTTGTTCTGCAAAGGATAAGATCAGAACGGGCTGAAGGCCTTTCTTCAGCCGATCCGGTTTTGCCACCTTGTGAAACCCGTTCGTGTCAGATAAATGAAGCCTGTTGTGTACTGACATCTAATGGTAGCATCGCTGCACTGCAACTTTCAAGGCTGTTATGGAACAACGATAAAGGACAGCAAGGTGGGGGGGGGAACATTTTAAAGCACCCTACAAAGCATAGGCAAAGGGAAGCACAAAGCATCACTCACACTGTTAGTTGCTCCAGTGGGGCTGTGATGTTGTGGTTGGTACATGCACTGCATTCAAAGAACATGACAGCGCACTCCTGCAGAGAGAGAGAGAGAGAGAGAGTGAGAGTGAAAGAGACATCGCAATAGATCAGGGTTTGAGGTTTGGTCACTAGTCACTCACAGAGCTGAGTGCTCATCGCAGCCCAGGCTGGTCCCTGATAAATCCAGTGAGTAACTCCATGTAATAACCATTCCCCCTTTCTACGGCTGCGCCCTGAGCTGTGGGATCAGTGTCCGCAGTGACGGTGGTGATAGTTACTGACCTGGGCCAATCGCTCTCCTGCCTCGTGGGGGACTTGCCGATTGGCAGCATCATCACTCTTGTTACCCAAAAGGAGGATGAGAACAGCTTCAGAGGCCACCTCCTGCACATAAGAGGCAACTGGTGTGAGGAACACCTTTAACAATAATTTAACAATAATTTAAGGAACGTACACACGGCAGGGGGTGGGGGGGAATCACACATTGCCCCAGGGTAATGCTGTGCTGGAAGGAGCTGCCTTACCTGTACACAATGCAGCCAGTAACGGACCTCGGTGAAGGACTGAGACGCTGTAATGTCGTACATGACAACCACTGCATCAGATTTGCGCAAAAACTGCTTTGTCAGACTCCGGAAGCTGAGGGGAGAGGAACGAGCATCAGAGCGGAGGCACTGAGGCTGAGCACAAGCCATGCTTTGAGCTAATCATGCAATTATAATGGAGTCCCATGGCGTAGTGGTTAGCGCGCTCGCCTCACAAGCGAGAGCACCCAGGTTTGATTCCCGGGTGGGGCGAAACCTGAGGCAAGTTTGCTCACTCCACACTCCTCTGTTTTCCGAGCAGTAAGTAGGAACACGGTTGCTAGTCAATTGGTGGATCACTTTCCGGGGGTAATAATCCCTCCCCCCCACCTCCCACAAAAAAATAAAAACCTTTAAGAAAGTGATAACTTGGTCATTCATGTTTCTGGCATTTGGTCAGGACTGTTTGTGGGATATTGTTGTGCCCAATTGGCTGCCGCGTTTCACCCACAAAATACACAGTCAATTTGTTTTGCAATGCGTTCTGTGAAGCGCTTTGAAACGTCTCAACGACATGTTAAGGTGCTATATCAAATGCAAAGATTATTAATATTATTAATCTTCTGGAGCCAATTTTTCACAGGAGAACATGGAAGTCGGGTGCGTGGCTGGAGATTGCAGGATTAGCGAGAAGCAGAAACATTTACAAATCTACAGACTGACCGTTCCTGTCCAGCGGTGTCCCAAAGCTGGAGTGCCACACATCGCTTTGCCACAGTCATCGTCCGTATCACACAATCTATCCCTGCAACAATGCAATAGAAAAGATAACATCCAACAGTTACCAGTGGTTTTAGCTGGTTGGACTCCAGCAGTTACCCCAACGCACACTCTGGGTTCTCCCCATGCCTTGGCTCTTGCCAACCTGCGCCTAATACTTTCTGGAATTAGGTAACCAGGAGGCGTCCCTCCAGGGAGAGAGCGCGCATTCCATTCCAACAATCTCTCTCTGGGATTTCCAGGTGTGGGTGGGATGCATAGAATTCCCAGCTTGGTTTGGATACTCTTCAGCACGGTGATGGGTTTCCGTAAGTGTCAGAAACCCGACTGACCCCAAAAAAGATATAATCACTCGGGCCCCAATTTGGTCATCCCTGCCTTAGGTGATGTAAGAAAGAGGTACCCAGAGTGGCAGGTGACCCCGGGCTGAAAGTGCCATTGTAGAAACGCTGGATGAAGGATGTCTTGCCGACATTTGTGCTCCCAATAAACATGACATTGTAGAGACGCTCCGGGCTGCGTATCATCTCAGTCTGTGGAGGGAAAGAGATGGAAACATTAACCTTACACATAATTGTAATAATAATCATCTTCCCTCCCCATCCCAGAGTGTGTGTGCATTTGTGTGTATTTGAGGAGAGGTTGTGTGTGTGTATCTGACAAAAGATTTCGTATGCGAATGTCTGAGGAGAGGTTATGCATGTGTGTGTGTATCTGACGAGAGGTTGTGTGGGTGTGTATCTGAGGAGAGGTTATGTTTATGGGTTGGTGGTCAGTTGCATGGGGAGTTGAACGCAGCAGCCAGTGTGTATTTCACCACGGAGCAGTCTGCCCACTCACGGTACCTCTTTGCTTGGCCCTGCTTCACCATCACGCAGTAAATCCGCTTCCTTTTCCTCACTAACTCTAGCTCCAGAACTTCTCTCAACCTCTGCCTGATTATCCGACTTCAGGTAAGGCAGCGAAGACTCCTTTCGGGACAGGGGTTCCTGACTCCCTTGGACAGCAGCAGCGCCAATCCTCAAACTCCTGGATGGCACGACAGGGGAATGAATGGGTTAGAATTAACAGCTGACACACATTGTTATACAAAAAGATAGTTTGGTGACTGGTCAAAGTCCAAGGGATAAAGAGTTTCCAAGACTGTCCAGCATATGGAACAATGAAGGGCCAAAGCACTAACATGCAGCTGAGAGAAATGGTATGTTTATATCACCACTTTGACTTGGGAATTAACAGCAACAACGTTCACTAATATATATAATATATATAATATAAATATTATATATATTAATAACTTATTAATAACTTATAAACTGCCTTTCACATAGTTCAACGTCTCAAAGCGCTTTGCAGAGATGAAGTGGGAGCCTGAGCAGGAGGGGCAATACAGGTGGGGGTAGGAAGAGTCATATCGTGTGTGTATGTGTTTGTGTGGGGTCGGGGGCTGCACTTACTCTGCTTGCTGCTGTTGGGCCACCAGCTGATTGCGTGTCTCCTGCAGCTGTATCTCCAGCTCCTGGTTGTTGAGTTTCAGCTTCTCGTTCTCGGCCAATGTGGCATCCTGCTCCCTGCGCAGCGTCTGCAGCTGTCAGAGAGTGACCGCAGAGTGACCACACAGTGACCACACAGTGACCGCACAGAGTGACCGCACAGTGACAGGAGAATAACAGGAAATGGATAACTTGGCCGGGGAAAGAAGTCAGAGACTACAGGGTGAGGGAGCCATTGGCAGATCACAGACAGAATGAACACAGGAGAGGTTCGGGTGAAGAAGGCTCCTCAGCCCATTTGATCTCATTTTTCCAGCACTCCCACTCTACCAACCCCATTAAACTCCCCGGTCATTCTCCGGCCACTCTTCAATGAATCTTAAAGGTGTCCTCAGGATAATAATAATAATCCTTGCATTTGATATAGCCCTTTTCACATCTTCTAGACGTCCCAAAGTGCTTCACAGAATATACTGTAAAGTGAATTGACTGTATATTTGTGGGCGAAGGCGGCAGCCAATTGTGCACAGCAGCGTCCCACAAAAAAGTCATGGATTGAAAATGACCAATTTATTATTGTTTTTTTTGGAGGGATTATTACGCACCCGTGGAGACGGAGTAGCAAACACAGGGAGACTCGGGATAACACAATTGGGCGGCAGAGGGGTGGGCGGTGGACTAACCTCACTCTGCAAGCTCTCATTCTCGCTGGAGATCTGTGGCTCCGCCTCCTTGTTCAGCTGTTGGACCTCAGTGTTGACCCGACTGAGACACAGAGGAAAGGGTCAGTCTCTCAGCACAGTCTTTCCCACCCACCCAATCAGCCATCACAGCGCCCACCTCACACACACATTCCTGACTGTGGTTACGGGGCGTCTGGAACAGGATCAGGATTTTGGGAGCTCTCGTTCTCACTGGAGATCTGCTGCTCCGCCTCGAGTTCCAATGAAAGGTCATAGAACTGAAACGTTAACTAATTTTCCTCTCTCCACGGATGTTGCCTGACCTCCTGAGTGTTCCCAGCGACTTCTGCGTTTCTATCAGTTTTCTGGGATTGGGTCATAGGGTCAGGGTACGTGTCTGACAACTCTGCTCAGTGGTCTATGTGGGAAGCGCTATGGGACTCTGCCCCACGTAAACAGCGCTCAATAAATGCAAGTTGTTGGCTGTTGTTCGTATACCACAATTTCATGCAATCTTTCTAACAGTTTGCAAATATTGTCTGGGTTTGGTGTGTGTGCTGAAGACCTTTCTTTTCAACCACGCCTTTGGACACCTTCCTCCCCCTCCGCCTGGCTCGGCCCCGGATTGTGTCACTGTGAAGCACTCTGAGACGCCGTCCAGCGTGGAGGGCACTATTTAAATCCAAGTTGTTGTTGTGTGTTTGGGGAGGTGGGGGGAGCAGTGACTCCGGGCTTGGTGTTTGGGGGGAGGTGGGGGCAGCACTTACTCTGCTTCCTGCTGTTGGGCCACCAGCTGATTGCGTGTCTCCTGCAGCTGTATCTCCAGCTCCTGGTTGTTGAGTTTCAGCTTCTCGTTCTCGGCCAATGTGACATCCTGCTCCCTGCGCAGCGTCTGCAACTGCCAGAGAGTGACCGCAGAGTGACCACACATTAACCCACAGTGAACGCACAATGACCACACAGTTACCACACACAGTGACCACGCACAGTGACCACACACAGTGACAGGATATTGGGTAACCCAGCCGGGAAAGGAATCCAGTGACTGGAGGGTGAGGGAGCCCTGCCAGACCAGAGACTGACTGACCAAAGGAGAGGTTTGGGGGAGAAGGCTCTTCAGTCCATTTGATCAATTTTGGCCTATATTCTCTAGAATATAGAAGAATTAGAGGGGATCTTATAGAAACCTATAAGATCATCAAAGGGCACAATAGAGTAGATAGAGGGAGATTGTTTCCCCTGGTTGGAGAAACTAAAACCAGGGGTCACAACCTTAAAATCAGACGCCAGCCCTTTCCCACTGAGTTGAGGAAGAACTTCTTCACCCAAAGGGTGGTGAATGTAAGGAACTCACTACCACAAAGGGCTGTTGACGCTCAGTCCTTGAACATATTCAAGACTGAGATATAGATTTCTTATTGCAAAAGGGATTAAAGGATATGGGGATAAGGCAGAGTCAGGTTATTAGCTGGAGTTAGATTAGAAGATCAGCCATGATTGGATGGCGGAGCAGGCTCGAAGGGTCGAATGTCCTACTCCTGCTCCTACATGTTATGTTATGATCTCATTCTTCTGACTATCTTCCCATTAAAGCATCAAGTTGTGGGTTCTATGAGCTCAGGTACACAACAGGGGAGACATGGGGTAACACACATGGGGGGGGGGTGGAAGGGGGTTGCTGACCTCACTCTGGAAGCGCTTGGTCTCACTGGAAATCTGTTGCTCCATCTCCTGGTTTAGCCGCTGGACCTCAGCATTGAGCTCCGTGAGCCGCCTGAGACACAGAGGAAAAGGTTAATCTCTCAGCACAGCCTTTCCCACCCGCCCGCTCAGCCATCACACCGCCCACCTCACACCCACATTCCTGACTGTGGTCACGGGGCGTATGGAACAGGATCAGGATTCTGGGATTAGGTCATAGGGAGGGACGATGCCCGGCATTGATGGTGCTATATAAATGCAAGTTGCTAGACCATAAGACGTAGGAGCAGTAGGCCATTCGACCCCTCGAGCAGCCCCACCATTTAATAAAATCATGGCTGATCTTCTAACCTAATTCCATTTACCTGCCCTATCCCCATATCCCTTGATCCCTCTATCCTTTAGAATAGAATGCTTTTGTTGTTGTTGTCGTTGGGTCAGGGTACGGGGTTATTATAATAATAATCCTTGCATTTGAAATAGTGCGTTATCACGTTGTTGACGCCTCAAAGCTCTTCACAAATAATATTGCAGCGTGGAATGACTGTATTTTGTGAGCGAAATGCGGCAACCGATTGCACATGGTTGTGTCTCATAAACAGTCATGGGGATGAGTGACCAATTTTTTTTTGAGGGATTATTAAGCCCAGAGAGCAATTCACCAATTCACTTAAAAATCGGTTCCTACTTATTGCTTGGTAAACAGAGACATGTGGAGTAAGGAAACTTGTCTAAGGTTTTCGCGCTGCCCGGGATTCGAACCCAGGTCCTGTCTCCAGTGAGGCGAGTGTTTTAACCACTCCACTACGTTACAGGACTGCTACAGGTAGTGTGTGGTGGGGTGGGGGTGCGGGGTTAATGGGTCGGGGGCTGCACTTACTCTGCTTCCTGCTGTTGGGCCACCAGCTGATTGTGTGTCTCCTGCAGCTGTATCTCCAGCTCCTGGTTGTTGAGTTTCAGCTTCTCGTTCTCGGCCAATGTGACATCCTGCTCCCTGCGCAGCGTCTGCAGCTGCCAGAGAGTGACCGCAGAGTGACCACACAGTGACCGCATAGTGACCGCACAATGACAGGGGAATAACAGGAAATGGATAACTTGGCCGGGGAAAGAAGTCAGTGACTACAGGGTGAGGGAGCCATTGGCTGATCACAGACAGACTAACCACAGGAGAGATTCAGGTGAAGAAGGCTCTTCAGCACATTTGATCTCATTTTTCCAGCACTCCCACTCTACCAACCCCATTAAACTCCCTGGTCATTCTCAGGCTACTGTTCAATGAATCTTAAATGTGCCCTCAGGATACGCACCCGTAGAGACGGAGTAGTAAACACAGGGAGACTCGGGGTGACACACATGGGCGGCGGAGCAGTGGGCGGTTGACTGACCTCACTCTGCAAGTGCTCGTCCTCGCTGGAGATCTGTGGCTTCGCCTCCTTGTCCAGCCGCTGGACTTCAGTGTTGTGCTCCGTGAGCCGCCTGAGACACAGAGGAAAGGGTCAGTCTCTCAACACAGCCTTTCCCACCCACCCGCTCAGCCATCACAGCGCCCGCCTCACACACACATTCCTGACTGTGGTCACGGGGCGTCTGGGACAGGATCAGGATTTTGGGAGCTCTCGTTCTCACTGGAGATCTGCTGCTCCACCCTGAGTTCTTCCGAAAGGTCATAGACCTGAAACGTTAACTAATTTTCCTCTCTCCACGGATGTTGCCTGACCTCAGGTTCTCACACTGGCCGGTATTTAAACCCAGGTCCTGTCTCTAGTGAGTGTTCCCAGCGACTTCTGTGTTTCTATCAGTATTCTGGGATTGGGCCATCCAGTGAGGGTACGTGTCTGATAACTCTGCTCAGTTGTCTATGTGGGAAGCGCTCCGAGACTCTGCCCCACGTAAACAGCGCTCAATAAATGCAAGTTGTTGGCTGTTGTTTGTCTCCCCCAATTTCATGCAATCTTTCTAACAGTTTGCGAATATTGTCTGGGTTTGGTGGGTGTGTGTTTGGGGAGGTGTGGGGAGCAGTGACTCCGGGCTTGGTGTTTGGGGGGTGGTGGGGGCGGCACTTACTCTGCTTCCTGCTGTTGGGCCACCAGCTGATTGCGTGTCTCCTGCAGCTGTATCTCCAGCTCCTGGTTGTTGAGTTTCAGCTTCTCATTCTCGGCCAATGTGACATACTGCTCCCTGCGCAGCGTCTGCAGCTGCCCCTGCACCTGTCAGAGAGTGACCACACAGTGACCATAGAGAGTGACCACACAGAGTGACCGCACAGTGACAGGACATTGGGTAACCCAACCGGGAAAGAAATCCAGTGACTAGAGGGTGAGGGAGCCCTGCCAGACCACAGACTGACTGACCAAAGGAGAGGTTTGGGGGAGAAGGCTCTTCAGCCCATTTGATCTCATTCTTCCAACTGTCTTCCCATTAAAGCATCAAGCTCTTGGTTCTATGAGCTCCAGTACACAACACGGGAGACTCGTGGTAACGCACATGGTGGGGAAGGGGGTGGGTGGGGGTGAGGGTTTGCTGACCTCATTCTGGAAGCGCTCAGTCTCACTGGAAATCTGTTGCTCCATCTCCTGGTTTAACCGCTGGACCTCAGCGTTGAGCTCCGTGATTCGCCTGAGACACAGAGGAAAGGGTCAGTCTCTCAGCACAGCCTTTCCTACCCGCCCGCCACCCATCACATCACGCGCCTCACACCCACATTCCTGACTGTGGTTATGGGGCGTCTAGAACAGCATCAGCATTTTGGAAGCTCTCGTTCTCACTGGAGATCTGCTGCTCCACCTCGAGTTCTTACGAAAGGTCATAGACCTGAAACGTTAACTAATTTTCCTCTCCACGGATGTTGCCTGACCTCCTGAGCGTTCCCAGCGACTTCTGTGTTTCTATCAGTATTCTGGGATTGGGTCATAGGGTCAGGGTACGTGTCTGATAACTCTGCTCAGTGGTCTATGTGGGAAGCGCTACGAGACTCTGCCCCACGTAAAGAGCGCTCAATAAATGAAAATTGTTGGCTGTTGTTTGTCTCCCCCAATTTCATGCAATCTTTCTAACAGTTTGCAAATATTGTCTGGGTTTGGTGTGTGTGTGTTTGGGGAGGTGGGGGAGCAGTGACTCCGGGCTTGGTGTTTGGGGGGAGGTGGGGGCTGCACTTACTCTGCTTCCTGCTGTTGGGCCACCAGCTGATTGCGTGTCTCCTGCAGCTGTATCTCAAGCTCCTGGTTGTTGAGTTTCAGCTTCTTGTTCTCGGCCAATGTGACATCCTGCTCCCTGCGCAGCGTCTGCAGCTGTCAGAGAGTGACCGCAGAGTAACCACACAGTGATCCACAGTGAACGCGCAGAGTGACGCACAAGAGTGACCGCACAGTGACCTGACATTGTGTAACCCAACCGGGAAAGGAATCCAGTGACTGGAGGGTGAGGGAGCCCTGCCAGACCAGAGACTGACTGACCAAAGGAGAGGTTTGGGGGAGAAAGCTCTTCAGCCCATTTGATCTCATTCTTCTGACTGTCTTCCAATTAAAGCATCAAGTGCTTAGCTGTATGAACTCAGTACACAACAGGGAAGACTTGGGGTGACACACATGGGGGAGGGGGTTGCTGACCTCACTCTGGAAGCGTTCGGTCTCACTGGAAATCTGTTGCTCCTTCTCCTTGTCCAGCCGCTGGACCTCAGCTTTGAGCTCCGTGAGCCGCCTGAGATACAGAGCAAAGGGTCAGTCTCTTAGCACAGCCTTTCCCACACGCCACTCAGCCATCACAGCGCCCGCCTCACACATACATTCCTGACTGTGGTCACAGCGCGTCTGGAATAGGGAGCTCTCATTCTCACTGGAGATCTGCTGCTCCACCTCAAGTTCTGACGAAAGGTCATAGATCTGAAACGTTAACTAATTTTCCTCTCTCCACGGATGTTGCCTGACCTCCTGAGTGTTCCCAGCGACTTCTGTGTTTCTATCAGTATTCTGGGATTGGGTCATAGGGTCAGGGTACGTGTCTGGCAACTCTGCTCAGTGGTCTATGTGGGAAGCGCTACGAGACTCTGCCCCACGTAAAGAGCGCTCAATAAATGCAAGTTGTTGGCTGCTGTTTGTCTCTCCCAATTTCATACAATCTTTCTAACAGTTTGCAAATATTGTCTGGGTTTGGTGTGTGTGTGTTTGGGGAGGTGGGGGGAGCAGTGACTCCGGGCTTGGTGTTTGGGGGGTGGTGGGGACTGCACTTACTTTGCTTCCTGCTGTTGGGCCACCAGCTGATTGCGTGTCTCCTGCAGCTGTATCTCCAGCTCCTGGTTGTTGAGTTTCAGCTTCTCGTTCTCGGCCAATGTGACATCCTGCTCCCTGCGCAGCGCCTGCAACTGCCAGACAGTGACCACAGAGTGACCACACAGTGACCCACAGTGAACACGCAGAGTGACCGCACAAGAGTGACCGCACAGTGACAGGACATTGGCTAACCCAACCAGGAAAGGAATCCAGTGACTGGAGGGTGAGGGAGCCCTGCCAGACCAGAGACTGACTGACCAAAGGAGAGGTTTGGGGGAGAAAGCTCTTCAGCCCATTTGATCTCATTCTTCTGAGTGTCTTCGCATTAAAGCATCAAGCGCTTAGCTGTATGAACTCAGTAGACAACAGGGAAGACTTGGGGTGACACACATGGGGGAGGGGGGTGTGGGTGAGGGTTTGCTGACCTCACTCTGGAAGCGCTCGGTCTCACTGGAAGTCTCCTTCGCCGCTGGACCTCAGCGTTGATCTCCATGACTCGCCTGAGACAAAGAGGAAAGGGTCAGTCTCTCAGCACAGCCTTTCCTACCCGCCCGCCACCCATCACATCACGCGCCTCACACCCACATTCCTGACTGTGGTTATGGGGCGTCTAGAACAGCATCAGCATTTTGGAAGCTCTCGTTCTCACTGGAGATCTGCTGCTCCACCTCGAGTTCTTACGAAAGGTCATAGACCTGAAACGTTAACTAATTTTCCTCTCCACGGATGTTGCCTGACCTCCTGAGTGTTCCCAGCGACTTCTGTGTTTCTATCAGTATTCTGGGATTGGGTCATCGGGTCAGGATACGTGTCTGATAGCTCTGCTCAGTGGTCTATGTGGGAAGCGCTCCGAGACTCTGCCCCACGTAAACAGCGCTCAATAAATGCAAGTTGTTGGCTGTTGTTTGTCTCCCCCAATTTCATGCAATCTTTCTAACAGTTTGCAAATATTGTCTGGGTTTGGTGTGTGTGTGTTTGGGGAGGTGGGGGGAGCAGTGACTCCGGGCTTGGTGTTTGGGGGGAGGTGGGGGCTGCACTTACTCTGCTTCCTGCTGTTGGGCCACCAGCTGATTGCGTGTCTCCTGCAGCTGTATCTCCAGCTCCTGGTTGTTGAGTTTCAGCTTCTCGTTCTCGGCCAATGTGACATCCTGCTCCCTGTGCAGAGCCTGCAACTGCCAGAGAGTGACCGCAGAGTGACCACACAGTGACCTACAGTGAACGCGCAGAGTGACCGCACAAAGTGACAGGACATTGGGTAACCCAACCGGGAAAGGAATCCAGTGACTAGAGGGTGAGGGAGCCCTGCCAGACCAGAGACTGACTGACCAAAGGAGAGGTTTGGGGGAGAAGGTTCTTCAGTCCATTTGATCTCAATCTTCCGACTATCTTCCAATTAAAGCATCAAGCTCTTGGCTGTATGAGCTCAGTACACAACAGGGGAGACTCGGGGTGACATACATGGGGGAGGGAGGGGGAACTGACCTCACTCTGGAAGCGCTCATCCTCGCTAGAAATCTGTTGCTCCATCTCCTGGTTTAGCCGCTGGACCTCAGTGTTCAGCTCCGTGAGCCGCCTGAGACATAGAGGAAAGGGTCAGTCTCTCAGCACAGCCTTTCCCACCCGCCCGCTCAGCGATCACAGCGCCCGCCTCACACCCACATTCCTGACTGTGGTCACGGGGCGTCTGGAACAGGATCAGGATTCTGGGATTAGGTCATAAGGAGGGACGGTGTCCACAGTGGATGGTGCTATATAAATGCAAGTAGTTGTTGTTGTTGTAGGATCAGGATATGGGGTTATTATAATAATAATAATCCTTGCATTTGAAATAGCACGTTATCACATTGTTGACGCTCTTCACAGATAATATTGTAGGGTGGATTGACTTTTTTTTGTGTGCTAAATGCCGCAATCGATTGCACATGGTAGTGTCTCATAAACAGTCATGGGGATGAGTGACCAATTTTTTTTGAGGGATTATTACCCCCAGAGAGCGATACGCCAATTCACTTAACAATCGGGTTCCTACTTATTGCTTGGTAAAGGGAGACATGTGGAGTAAGGAAACTTGCCTAAGGTTTTCCTCGCTGCCCGGGATTCGAACCCAGGTCCTGTCTCCAGTGAGGCGAGTGTTTTAACCACTCCACTACGTTACAGGACTGCTACAGGTAGTGTGTGGTGGGGTGGGGGTATGGGGTTAATGGTTCGGGGGCTGCACTCACTCTGCTTCCTGCTGTTGGGCCACCAGCTGATTGTGTGTCTCCTGCAGCTGTATCTCCAGCTCCTGGTTGTTGAGTTTCAGCTTCTCGTTCTCGGCCAATGTGACATCCTGCTCCCTGCGCTGCGTCTGCAGCTGCCGGAGAGTGACCGCAGAGTGACCACACAGTGACCGCGCAGAGTGACCACACAGTGACAGGAGAATAACAGGAAATGGATAACTTGGCCGGGGAAAGAATTCAGTGACTACAGGGTGAGGGAGCCATTGGCATATTCACAGACAGACTGAACACAGGAGAGGTTCGGGTGAAGAAGGCTCTTCAGCCCATTTGGTCTCATTTTTCCAGCACTCCCACTCTACCAACCCCATCAAACTCCCCGGTCATTCTCAGGCCACTCTTCAATGAACCTTAAAGGTGTCCTCAGGATATGCACCCATGGAGACGGAGTAGTGAACACAGAGAGACTCGGGGTAACACAATTGGGCGGTGGACTGACCTCACTCTGCAAGCTCTCATTCTCGTTGGAGATCTGTGGCTCCTTCTCCTGGTTTAGCCGCTGGCCCTCAGCATTGAGCTCCGTGAGCCGCCTGAGACACAGAGGAAAGGATCAGTCTCTCAGCACAGCCTTTCCCACCCGCCCGCTCAGCCATCACAGCGCCCGCCTCACACATACGTTCCTGACTGTGGTCACGGGGCATCTGGGACAGGATCAGGATTTTGGGAGCTCTCGTTCTCACTGGAGATCTGCTGCTCCGCCTCGAGTTCCAATGAAAGGTCATAGACCTGAAACACTCAGGTTTTTCTCTCTCCACGGATGTTGCCTGACCTCCTGAGTGTTCCCAGCGACTTCTGTGTTTCTATCAGTATTCTGGGATTGGGTCATAGGGTCAGGGTACGTGTCTGGCAACTCTGCTCAGTGGTCTATGTGGGAAGCGCTACGAGACTCTGCCCCACGTAAACAGCGCTCAATAAATGCAAGTTGTTGGCTGCTGTTTGTCTCCCCCAATTTCATACAATCTTTCTAACAGTTTGGAAATATTGTCTGGGTTTGGTGTGCGTGTGTTTGGGGAGGTGGGGGGAGCAGTGACTCCGGGCTTGGTGTTTGGGGTGTGGTGGAGGTATCACTTACTCTGCTTCCTGTTGTTGGGCCACCAGCTGATTGCGTGTCTCCTGCAGCTGTATCTCCAGCTCCTGGTTGTTGAGTTTCAGCTTCTCATTCTCGGCCAATGTGACATCCTGCTCCCTGCGCAGCGTCTGCAGCTGTCAGAGAGTGACCGCAGAGTGACCACACATTGACCCACAGTGACCGCGTACAGTGACCACGCACAATGACAGGACATTGGGTAACCCAACCAGGAAAGGAATCCAGTGACTAGAGGGTGAGGGAGCCCTGCCAGACCAGAGACTGACTGACCAAAGGAGAGGTTTGTGGGAGAAGGCTCTTCAGCCCATTTGATCTCATTCTTCCAACTATCGTCCCATTAAAGCATCAAGCTCTTGTCTGCATGAGCTCAGGTACTCAACAGGGGAGACTCGGGGTAACACACATGTGGCGGGGGGAGGAGGGGCTGACCTCACTCTGGAAGCGTTCGTTCTTGCTGGAGATCTGTTGCTCTTTCTCCTGGTTTAGCCGCTGGACCTCAGCTTTGAGCTCCGTGATCCGCCTGAGATACAGAGGAAAGGTTCAATCTCTCAACACAGCCTTTCCCACCCGCCCGCTCAGCCATCACACCGCCCGCCTCACACCCACATTCCTGACTGCGGTCACGGGGCATCTGGAACAGGATCAGGATTCTGGGATTGGATCATAGGGTCGCGGTACGGGGTTATTATAATAATAATCCTTGCATTTGATATAGTGCCTTATTGTGTCTTCGATACGTCTCAAAGCGCTTAGCAGAGTGTACTGTAAAGTGAATTTACTTGTATATGTTGTGGATGAAACTCAGGAGCCAATTGTACATAGTAGCGTCCCACAAACAGTCAGTGACCAATTTCATTTGGAGGTATTATTACCCCCGGAAAGCGATCAGCCAATCGACTAACAATTCGGATCCTACTTACTGCTAGCTAAACAGAGGCATGTGAAGTTAGGAAACTTGCCTCAGGTTTCGTCCTGCCCAGGAATCAACCTGGGTCCTCTTGCTTGTGAGGCACCGCTGCACTATGTTACAGGACTCCTACAAGTAGTGTGTGGTGGGGCGGAGGGTGGGAGGGGTTCACACTTACTCTGCTTCCTGCTGTTGAGCCACCAGCTGATTGCGTGTCTCCTGCAGCTGTATCTCCAGCTCCTCGGTGTTGAGTTTCAGCTTCTCGTTCTCGGCCAATGTGACATCCTGCTCCCTGCGCAGCTCCTGCAACTGCCAGAGAGTGACCGCAGAGTGAACACAGAGTGACCGCTCAGTGACTGCACAGTGACAGTAGAATAACAGGAAATGGATAACCTTGACTGGGGAAAGAAGCCAGTGACTAGAGGGCAAGGGAGGCACTGGTAGACCACAGACAGACTGACCACAGGAGAGGTTCGGGTGAAGGAGGGTAATTTTTTTATCTAATTTTTCCAGCACCCCCGCCCTAACGCCACCATTAAACTCCCCGGTCATTCTCCGGCCACTCTTCAATGAATCTTAAATATGTCCTCGGGATTTGCACCCGTGGAGACGGAGTAATAAACACAGGGAGACTCGGGGTGACACACATGGGTGGTGGGTGGACTGACCTCACTCTGGATGCTCTCGTTCTCATTGGAGATCTGTTGCTCCTCCTCCTGGTCTTGCCTCCGGACCTCAGCGATGTGCTCTGTGACCCGCCTGAGACACAGAGGAACGGGTCAGTCTCTCAACAAACAGTCGTGGATTGAGTGACCACATATTTTTTGAGGGAGTATTATCCCCAGAAACTTGCCTAAGGTTTTGCCCCACTGGGAATCAAACCCAGGTCCTCCCACTTGCGAGGCGAATGCTCCAAACTCTAATCCTTAGGTAGAGTCCTGTAGCTCAGTGGTTATAGCACTCGCTTCGCAAGCGTTCGATTCCCCGCAGGGCGAAACGTTGGGCAAGTTTCCTTAATCCACACACCTCTGTTTACCCAGCAGTAAGTAGAAACCCGGTTATGAGTCGATTGGCAGATCACTTTTTTGGGGATAACTAACTAGTGTGTGTGTGTTGGGGAGTTGGGGGGGCAGGAGGGGTTCATACTTACTCTGCTTCCTGCTGTTGGGCCACCAGCTGATTGCGTGTCTCCTGCAGCTGTATCTCCAGCTCCCTGTTGCTAAGTTTCAGCTTCTCGTTCTCGGCCAGTGTGACATCCTGCTCCCTGCGCAGCTGCCAGAGAGTGACCGCGGAGTGACCACACAGTGACCGCACATTGACCGCACAGTCGCAGGAGATTGCGTAACCCAAACGTGGGGTACATACACATACCCGAACGCGCGCGCACACACACACACACACACACACACACACACACACAGACTCAGGGTACACAAGGGGAGACTTGGGGTACACACACGGGGAGATTCAGAGGCCTGACCTCACTTCAGCCCATTTGATCTCATTTTTCCGACTGTCTTCCCATTAAGGCATCAAGCTATTGGTTATATGAGCTCAGGTACACAACAGGGGAGACTCGGGGTGACGCACATGGATGGGGGTGGGTGGGGGAGGGGGCTGACCTCACTCTGGAATCTCTCATTCTCGCTGGCGATCTGCTGCTCCATCTCCTCGTACAGCCGCTGGACCTCAGTGTTGTGGTCCGTGACCCGCCTGAGACAGAGAGGGAAGGGTGTCAGCATGTGCGGGGAGTCAGTGTGCGGGGTGCGGGTCATGGGGAGTTAGTGTCCGGGGGCTCACTCGTTGGCAGTGCTGGGTCGGACAAATTCACTCACCGTTTTAATGTCTTTTCCACCTCTTCCTTCTCCTGCTGAGATTCCTGAATCTGTGAGGTCACCTTAGCCATGAAATCCTCCAGGAGGCCGAGGAGGTTGGGCTCTTCCCTCCGTATCTGCACCCACAGCTTCCACATCTCAGAGCGACTGTAAAGCCAATCACACAATCGTACAGCGCACAAATAACCTGTTCAGCCCAACAGGACCTTTCTGTCGTTGAAGGTTTGACATCTGCTTCGACCCGGATTGACTCAACTCCGAATACCACCCTCTACGTAGAGTGTGACAGCGTGCAAGCTCAGTCCAACTAGTCTGTGCCATTGTCTCTACTCCACATGAATCTCCAGCCCTCCTGATCCTCTCACCCAACCTCCTCCATTTCCTTCCCCCTTCCCTGTGCATCAAAGTTCCTTTTAAATATGTTGATGCTGCACACCTAATGTGTTCTGGTGCCTTTTGTGGACTATTTCATTCGCACTACTTTCCAATCTCCGATCAATTCTCATGGGGTGGGGGGAGGGGGCCTTAAGCACGGTCAAGAAGGAAGGTTGTCAGGCGGGACTTGAAAAGGGGAGAGATGGGGCAAAGCAAAGGGATTGAGGGAGAGTGTTCCAGAGTTTCGGGGCATAGTGGCTGAATGTGCGCCCTCCAACGGTGGAGCAGAAGGTGTGAGGGATAAGCAGGAGGCCGGTGCCAGTTGAGCGGTGGGGCCAGGTGGTGGATTGGGGAGTGAGGAGGTCGGAGAGGGAGGGAGGTGCCGGCGACGGAAGGGGTTTGAACACGGCCCAGATCGGGCGACGCGCGGCCCAGATCGGGCGACGCGCGGCCCAGATCGGGCGACGCGCGGCCCAGATCGGGCGACGCGCGCGGCCCAGATCGGGCGACGCGCGCGGCCCAGATCGGGCGACGCGCGCGGCCCAGATCGGGCGACGCGCGCGGCCCAGATCGGGCGACGCGCGCGGCCCAGATCGGGCGACGCGCGCGGCCCAGATCGGGCGACGCGCGCGGCCCAGATCGGGCGACGCGCGCGGCCCAGATCGGGCGACGCGCGCGGCCCAGATCGGGCGACGCGCGCGGCCCAGATCGGGCGACCCGCGGCCCAGATCGGGCGACGCGCGGCCCAGATCGGGCGACGCGCAGCAGATGAATCACACCTTCCCATCTCGCTAGTCAATTCTTCACTCACTGTTCAGATATGACTGTGGCTCCGAGACGCTCCACCAATTTTTCAAAATGTTGCTTCTCCTCGTCCTCGGTTTGTACTTGTTGTTGCAGTCCCTGTGACTGGTAAGAGGTGTCTGCCATTTGCTGCTCAACGTCCTCATCTCCTCCCTGGTTCTGGTCTGTTAGGAAGTGACCTACAAACAGCAGCACATGTGTGATCAGTGCTTCATCCAGTCACCAAACCCCAATCCTAAGTCAGGTTTTCACTCTATGATCAAACCGCATTTTATCAGCTTCAGAACCGCCTATTGCTGATCCAACTGAGGACTTAGTTAAGCCCTGTCCATCGCATCAATCCAAACCCAATGATTTCACGACAATAACACTTCCATTTGATATTGTGATGAAACATCTCAGGAGCTTTTCCTGTAAAGTGCAGTGACTGTGTATTTCTTGCTGAACGCTGGTGAATGGCATTACAACAACAACAAATTTGAATAGCACCTTTCACGTCGGGAGGACGTCCAAAGGCGCTGCGGTTCTCAAACACTTTTTTTTTTGATGGCGTTGGTACAACTTTCTGCTCAATCGCACAGGGCACAAGCACACTGTTTAGCAGAAACAGAACGTTTCTGCAGTTGAAGGTGTGAGGCCACCAACACATGTAGGCGGTCTCACTGCTAGTTTTTCCTGAGTGAATCATACGAAAAATAAAGGAAATGAAGACATGCGCAGGTTTCACTTATTTCTGTACGTTGCACAAACCACATTTGAGAAAACAGTGCTCTTGCACAGAACCTTGCGCAACAACAAGAAAAGTATATGCAGAACACACTTTTTGTTCCGAAAAGTGTCCCTTGCAGCATAGTAATAAACATTCTTTTTTTCAACTCACAACGATTCGCAAAAGTTCAGCAGTTTTTTTTTGAATCGAAACACGGGTGTTCTGCTGGCTCACAGGTTTCTCATGGGTTTCGCCCACAAAATACACAGTCAGTCCACTTTACAATATATTCTGTGAAGCGTTTTGAGACTTCTCAACGGCGTGATAAGGCGCTATTTCAAATGTAAGAGTTATTATTATTATGGTGAAATTATGAAGCAAAGCTTCCAGGTTAGCTTTAGATAAACAAGAGCTTTTCCTGTAAAGTGCGGTGACTGTGTATTTCTTGCTGAACGCTGGTGAATGGGATTACAACAACGACAAATCTGAATAGCGCCTTTCACGTCGGGAGGAGGTCCAAAGGCTCTGTGGTTCTCAAACGCCTTTTTTTTTGATGGCGTTGGTACAACTTTCTGCTCAATCGCACAGGGCACAAGCACACCATTCTTTTTTTCAACTCGGGACGATTTGCAAAACTTCAGCAGTTTTTTTTGAATGGAAACATGTGTGTCCTGCTGGCTCACAGGTTTCTCGTTTCTCATGGGTTTCGCCCACAAAATACACAGTCAGTCCACTTTACAATATATGGGTGGGTCCAGTACTTCTGTTCAGAAAGAATGCTCTCTCACACAGCATAGCCAAGGGGAACATAGGCAAGAAGACCAACACAAACATAGCCAGGGTTTGGAGTTCTCTGCAAACAGGTACACGTTGCCCCAGAACTCCTGTACTGAAAAATCAGGCCGACTGATGTACGCTTTCAGTTGTGCATCATTATACCAGTGGTAGCCAACCCGGAAATGGTCTGTAGGCTGTCCAGAAATGCTCCCCCCACCCTCCCGGACATTCGCACTCGTCTCGGCAAATTCCTGTTTAATCAATTTTTCTAAACCCACTCCAAGTGAAGCGCTGGCCACATTTGAGAAACACAGATTACAGTAGAGAGCTCCAGTGGGGGAATGAGCTCCTCCTGTACTGCAAACACTGTCCGATTCCACCAGGCGCCTGCTGCTCTCATAACCGCAGAAGATTCACGGCATTTTGCTTATAAATGTGACATTATAAACATACTCAGCTGGTCAGTGAGCTCCTCGCGAGTCAGGTACCCGTTGCCATGCACGTCCAGCTTGTCAAACACCACCTCCAGGTCCTGAGGGCTGAAGCCAAACTTTGCCTGGAGCGTCTGAGACAGAGAAGCGAACACGGGATAACTCAAACTGCTGGACACCAGGCAACCAAATCCAACATCACAATGACGTCAGGACATTAGCATGTACCCAATCTCCACCTCCCAAATAATGTCAAAGAAAAGCCAGGAGGAAAACGCCTCCCGCCCCCACACTCCCCATGTACACATCCCTCACACTCCCAGTGTGCAGGGAATTCTCAGCTTGGTTCGGATACTCTCAAGCATGGTGATGGGTATCCGCGAGTGTCAGAAACCTAGCCGACCAAACAAAAAATCCCCGTGTGCACCACCACGGACTCCCTAAAGATAAGGATATTTTTATCCAAGTTCTTTTCCTTACTGGGGGCCTTGGTGATCAGCCTGGGTTTACTCAAACTAACCACTACAAGACCTGACCTGCTGCTGGAAGGTGTGTGCATGTGTATGTGAATGGTGTGTGATGTATGTGGTTTAGTATGTGGTTTAAACCTTGAGTGGTTTAGGTTGTACCTCTCCCACCGTCTTCACTTTGTCTCCACGAATGGTTTTTCCTCCAGCCCCCGCACTGTCTCGTGCGGTGTCCCTCAGGGCTCTGTCCCCTCCTCTTCACCCTCTATATGCTCCCCCTATGGTGACATCATCCTCAGACATGGGGTTAACTTCCACATGTATGCGGATGACACCCAACTCTACCTTTTCTCCTCTACCCTCAACTCCACGACCACCGATGTCCTGACAGCTGTCTGTCCAACATCGAGTCCTGGACGAGAGACAACTTTCTTCAGCTCAACGTGCGTAAAATTGAGGCCCGCCTGATTGGCTCACGTCAGCGCCTCCGCACCTCAGGCGCTGACAGCATCAGCATCCAAGGCCGCACTCTCCACCTCTCAAAGCAGTCAGGAACCTCGGCGTTTTGTTCGACCCTGAGCTGTCCTTTCTCCCTCACATCCACACCACAACTGGCACCGCCTTCCATCACCTCCGGAATATCGCCAGACTACGGCACTATCTCACCCCTCACGCGGCTGAAACTCTGGTCCACGCCTTTATCACCTCAAGGCTGGACTTTGGGAACTCTCTCCTCGCCGGCCTTCCCGGTCCTCCCTCCACACTGCAGGTCATTCAGAACTCTGCAGCTCGTGTACTGTCCCGCACCAGACACCGCGACCACATCACTCCCACCCTCGCTCGCCTCCACTGGCTCCCCATCCCCCAGAGGATCGAATTCAAGATCCTCATCCTCACCTACAAGGCCATTCACGGCCTCACTCCCTCCTACCTCTCTGACCTACTATCCCCCTACCTACCTGCCCGTACCCTCCGTTCCTCTGGCTCTGGTCTGCTCCACATCCCCCGCCCCAACCGCCCTACCATCGGTGGCCGGGCCTTCAGCCTCTCAGCCCCGAGGCTCTGGAACTCCATCCCCCAGTGCCTTCGCCGCCTCCTCCCTTTCCTCCTTCAAGGCCGGTCTCAAGACCTTTCTCTTTGACCGAGCCTTCAGCTTCCCTCTCGACTCTCTACCCCCTCCTCGCTCCCTCCCTTCCCTCCCCTCACCCTGACCATTTCCCCCTTGGTCGGGTCCTGACCCAACTGTGCAGCGCCTTGGGATGTCCTCCCGACGTGAAAGGCGCTCTATAAATGGAATCTTGTTGTTGTTGCTGTTGTTGTATGTGTGTGCTTGTGGCGTGTGTGTGTGTGTGTGTGGAGGGGGGTGGGGGGTATGTGTGTACATGTGTAGTTTGTATGTATGCGTCCGTGCCTTGTGTGTGCGTGTGTGTTTGTGTGTGTAAACAAAACGCAGAGAGCCGAGGAAGAAAACTCAGAAATCACTGTGCCCACCAATGTCCACCACCACACTGGTACAGCATGAAGAATCCATCACGTGAGAGGAAATGGAATGCCTCTTACCTGCATGTCAGTCCGTGTGATGGAGCCCCTGTCATCTCCACCGACCTCATGGAAGAACTCTCGAACCTTCTGGATCATGTAGGCCTCGTCCCTCCGCCCCACGTTCTCTCCCGGCTCCTCCGGCAGCTCTCTCCTCCGCCGTGCCGTCCTCCTGCTGTGTCTGCTCAACCTCTTCTCGGCCATCGAGCATCACCTCCTGCTCCCAACTGGCAAGATGGAAAACTCAGTGAGATCGATTTCTGTTAGGAAATGATATCTCGGGACACAATATATAGTATGCGGCGTGGTACGTGCATGTGACTGCCAGGATGGTGGAAGGCGAACCGGATGGACCTAGTTTCGACCAGCAAATTCGTAAGTGCTTATGAATCCCGAAGACCGTCACCTTCTGAGAGTTGTTCCTTCCCACCGCTACAAGCCAATGGAACACTTCCCGCCCCCTTCGCCCCCTCTGAAACGCTGCAGATTTCACACGCAAACTCAGCATTGCCCAAGCACTACTTCCTGATTTTGGAGGTTTCCTCTGCACAGCTCGCCTCTCAACTGTCAGAAACTCAGACAGAGTGCTGAGCAGCGCAGCACCACGCATACCTCTTTGGTGTGTAAATTCTGCTTGCCTCCCTTGTTCTGACACTGCGCGTGAAGATACAGATGAGGGTTATGTCCTGTCCGAAACAGCAGCAACACATGCGCTCTGCCTATCGTCCTGTATTATGTTATACCACACAGAACATCTGGGTGGCTGATGTCCACAACCTCCAGTGGTATTGCTCATGTTTTCTCTTTGTCACTGAATCTCTGAAACTCGGGGACAGGAAGAGGAGTTTAAGCAGCTTCAGAAATCTTGCGTTTCTCACAGAGTAAAGTCAGAGCAGAACCAGAATAAAGACAGACACAGAGACACAGCGGAGCCATCACAATCTGAAGAAGGTCCTTCGGCCCATCAGATCCCATTCCCCCAGAATATCCACTTTACTATCCTCCCATCATAGCATCAAGTTTTTTTTAAAATAAGTTCCGTGTCCTGGCCTCAACCCCTCGCACTTCATGCAAACCAAATAATTAGCAAAGGTACAGGCAGAGCAGAGACATGAGTAACACAGAGGGTGATAAGTGAAATGCACAGTGACTGTATTTTACAATATGACTTTTACTGAGACATGACCTGATTCCAGAGAGTATTAGCCTCAGGTTGGTAGAGGCAAGGCTTGGGAGTTAGTTGGGACTAGTTCCAGTGCCCAAGTAGAAATTTTCATGTGAATCTCTCTGTAGTTTGGTTTGGATACTCTTGAGCATGCTGATGATGGGTATCCGCGTATGTCACCCGGCTGACCAAAAACAACCTCCCAAAATGTATCACCTCGTACTTTTCTGCATCAAATTTAATTTGCCCTCTATGTGCCCAATACAACAACAACAACAAGATTCCATTTATAGAGCGCCTTTCACGTTGAGAGGACGTCCCAAGGCGCTGGACAGTTGGGTCGGGACCCGAGCATTGGGGGGAAATGGTCAGGGTGAGGGGAGGGAAGGGAGGGAGCGAGGAGGGGGTAGAGAGTCAAGAGGGGAGCTGAAGGCACGGTCGAAGAGAAAGGTCTTGAGACCGGCCTTGAAGGAGGAAAGGGAGGAGGCGGCGAAGGCACTGGGGGATGGAGTTCCAGAGCCTATGGGCTGAGAGGCTGAAGGCCCGACCACCGATGGTAGTGCGGTTGGGGCGGGGGATGTGGAGTCTTGTCTGTGTTCTCCTGTAGTTGCCTAACAGTCCTTGTGCCTAAATCATCCCAGTGTTGTGCTTTTCTCTGATCTGTGCTGCTGAGAGCTTCGGCTTGCATGGTTAACGGGAGCTGAATGGAGAGAATCCTGCCCCCAGCGATTGATCTGCCCTCCGAATGAGGCTCATCTATGAACAGTGCCCTGGAACAATGTCACATGTTCCAAAGAGAGGGACAGATAGGAAGGCCTTTGGCCCCATTTGATCTTATCTTTCTAGCTGTTGGCCTCACTCGCTAGTTTTGCGTTTTTGCAAACTTTGATACTGTGGCTCCTATTACCGGAGGCCCGATCATTTTTATGATTTACACCTGAGAGCAATGGTCCTATTACTGAGCCCTGCGTCACAGGACTCTGATCAGAGCTCGGACACAGCGTTGAGTAACTGATCTGGAGGCTGGTGGAACAAGGTCTACCTGATCCTCACACTCCTCTGCCCCTCAACAAGTAGGAAATGAAGGATTCACTTTCCAGTAGGAACACATACACCGTCTGAGTTTCAGGAGCTGTGACTAAATAAGTTCATGGCCTTACCTCGGCACAACTGCTGTCTCTGCCTGAGTCTCTCGCTGCGCTGTCCTGTACTCCACTCGGCAAAGTTACTCAGTGCACAAATGTTGCAAAGTGAAATTTCAGTCTTGCTTCATCTGTTCCTTTCGGTTGTGAGGAGTGGAGCTGAAGTAATAACCACGGCCACACTGCACTTCCTGAGCTGACTTCTCACACATCCGTAGTAGCAGATTGTGTCAGTTAACCGCACCACACCGCCGCAGGCCAGTGAGAGCACCCCGATATACAGCGAGAGAGAGACAGAGGGACATACACAGATAGGCAGCGACACTCAGGGACACACGGCGACATACACAGATATACAGTGACCACAACTCACAGCGACACACACAGATATACAGTGCCAAACACAAATATACAGTGACATACACAGATATACAGTGACATACAGCGACCACAACACATAGCGACACACACTGTCACACAGTGAGACACAGTCACCTACACAGACATACTGTGACATCCTATGACATACAGATACCACACACCAACACACAGCGAAATTCAGTGACACCCAATGATAGTACAATGGCATCCAGCAACATACGGTGACAGTGAATTGGAGCAAGCAACCTGCCATCAGTGTCTGGTGTCACAGCCGATGCACTCGACCCAGAGCAGGTCAATGATGGCCAAATGGGCTTCTTCTGAGCAGAACATTTCTATGTCTCTAAAATAGATAGTTAACTTGTTCAAGCTGTCTCATGTGATCAAACTTTCTTTTGCTGCTGGCTTCAGAGTATGCTTTTTAATGAAGTAATTTTGTAATTCCGCTCACAAAACACACAGTCAACCCATTTTGCAGTAGATTCTGTGAAACACTTTGAGACGTTTCTCCGACATGATAAGGTTCTATATCAAATGCAAGGATTATTATTTTTATCATTATTATTAAAATAAAACACTCCGAGACACTATCTGGCATGAAGAGTGCTGTAACAAGCTGTTGCTATTATTACATAAGTAGAATTGCTAAGGCTGCTGCCAAAAGGCTTCACTTGTGACATTCTTGTTCGAACCCAGGTGCCAAATACCCAGTGCCCAGATGCCAAAAACTCAGTGCCCAACCTTGGTCCTCTGCCACAAATCACGTAATACTAGAGGTGGAGGAGTGTGGCTGCTCACAGCGCAGTAACCCGTTTCATTTACACAAATAGGGCTCTTAAGCAAATTGTAAACAGAAACCTGATCTGGCTTCTTGCGTTCACTGGCACAGACAAGCAGAGTCACTGAGCGGATGCCTCTGGTCCCTGACACTTTAACCCAAGCTGGTATCAGTGACTGCCACCTGACCAGAGAATTACATAGTACATGGGACTGATATCAGACGCTGGCCCAAACAGAGCCCGTTCAGACAGAGAGACACCCGATCAAATCCTGCCCTTTAATAGCCAATAAATCTAATCTCTCCTGCATCTGACTACGCTCTCGGCTACTTGAGTAATTAGTGGATTAGTATCACTATGTCTTTCTGGCAACCCCATCTAATTACTCCCCCACCTTACCTCCTCCATTCCCTCCCACCCACTCCCTCATCCCTACACGCACACCACACATATACCCATAAGAACTCAGTTATTAGTCGATTGGCAGATCTCTTTTGGGGATAATCATTCCTCTTCAAAAAAAACAGTACATATAATTTTGTCACGCAATCCACGACGGATTGCGGGACACTGCTGTGCACAATTGGCTTCCACATTTTGCCCACAAAATACAGTCAATTCACTTTATATTATATTCTGTGAAGCGCTTTGAGATGTCTCGACGACATGATATATCAAAAAGGATTATTATTATTACCCATAAACACAAACACACCAGCTCACACCACTCACACACATATCTTACACGCAACCCCCACATCCACAACACTCACACACAGACCCTCCCTGATACATCGTACAGGAAAATCCCACAGAGAATCAGCTATATAATCACTGTGGGCAGATTCCTTCCAAGTCACAAATTGAGTAATTTTATCTAGGACATCAAGACCATATGTATATCTTTGAAACAACGTTAGACTGCGTGTTGGGTTAGTGGTGCACATTACAGAAGGTCACAGAAATATATACGTGGAAAAGAAAGTTACAGATACGTTGAGGAAAAGACTTAGGACAAGTTAAATGGTCAAAATAAACTATATTGCGATGCATAACATTTTTACAATATTTATATTTATTGTGAAGGACCCCAGGACAGAGGGGAAGGAGGAGAAGGAGGCAGAGGGAGACAATCTTATCCCGTCACACCTCCACTCAGTCCAAAGAGACAAGACAGCTGCCCCTCAAGGCACCCTCTTATGAAGGTGGCCCACTAGGTAGTGACATAGGAACATAGGAATTGCTAGACGAAAAGGGTAGAGGTGGCCATAAGCACAGTCGAAGAGGAAGGTATTCGCATGAGACCTAAAAAGGGGGAGAAAGGGGCAAGATGGGGGGATTGAGATGAGTGTTCCAGAGCTTCAGGGCGTAGCGGCTGAAAGCGCAACGTCCGATGGTGGAGTGTGGGATGAGCAAGAGGCCGGGGCCAGTTGAGTAGAGGCGCGGGAGGTGGATTGGGGAGTGAGGAGGTCGGAGAGGTAGGGAGGTACCAAAGAGTGAAGGGATTTGAACACTCATTCCAAAAGCACAAGTCATCTCAAGACACACACTTTTGAAAATGACCCACTAGGCAGTAACACTATTTACTAGAAGGATGATTCTGACACGTGACCACCCTACCGTTACTCTTGAAGGAGGGTTTGGGGAGAATCTCTTTCTCTCTCTCTCTTTATCTTCATCTTCGTCCAGCTCAAATATCACAAAGGCTGCTCATTGCTGTCCTCATTTTATAAATAACAATAATAATAATCCTTGCATTTGATATAGCCCCTTATCACGTCTGAGACATCTCAAAGCGCTTCACAGAATATACTGTAAAGTGAATTGACTGTATATTTTGTGGGTGAAATACAGCAGCCAATTGCACACAACAGTGTCCCACAAACAGTCGTGGATTGAGTGACCAATTTATTATTATTATTTTTGAAGGAATTATTATCCCTGGAAAAGCGATGCGCCAATCGAGTAATAACCATGTTCTTTCTCCAAATGAACAGGGGACTATTCAATAGGATGGAGCCATTTATGCTTTGGCACCAATTTCCTATCGGTGCAATTTTCTTCTTTCTTAATGTTGAAGTAATAATAATTGTTTTATAATAATAATACTTGCATTTGATACAGTGCTTTTCAGGCCCTGTGGACGTCTCAAAGCACTTGGTAGGGTTTTACCGTAAAGTGTAGTGACTGTGCATTTTGTAGATGAACGTCAGTCTGTCTTTGTAGGCTCAAAATCGGGATGGCTGGACTGTTGCTGGACAAAGACCAGATATCTGCACGTTCATTTGCAGGGGAAGGTTTTGTTGGGTATGGAATCTCACACAGAAGCAACTTAACTGTTTACACATTTCAAATTCCATACCCTCAGGCATGGCAACCACACCATAACCTGGAGAAGATAAGCACTAACCAGCACAGCAGTCCTGCTCTGCCTCAGGATTTGTATTCTGGTGTCATCTCAATCTTAGTGATCTTATCGCTGGGGAAGCAGTTTCTGACTCGTGGCACCATTGCACTCGGACATTATAGGGAGTTCATCACTCGTGCTAAAACCATACACAGAGAGATGTAAATATGTGATGACTGAAATTCTCATAGGTTTGAGGAGAGAAAATGCTTCACATACAGGCCTGGTCTCTCTCACAAACACACACACACACACATATACCCGGCCTACACTCTCACCCTCACCGCACTCCTCCCCCACACCCCTCCCAACCCCAATCCAGCCATTTCATCCCCCAATCACTTTCTCATCCGCTGGCCATCATCGCCTCCCACCCCCCCACCCCACCCAAACACTGTCTCACACTTTTGCCGGGCACTGAACACACCGTGAGCACTATCTCACACTCTGATTTTGGATAGTATAACCACGGTGCAGGTGGGGAGCTGGAGCCAGGTGAAGGTTTCGCTAACACTCTCTGTGACTGTTTGGAAGGAGTGTGTCATAGCTTCTGAGAAACTGCTCCTGTAAAAGATGCATGAGGGAAATTCATCAATGATTCCTGCTTCATGGAAAGTTCCATGCTCTGTTACTGTAACTCCTACACTATATGTTTACATCAGCAGAGTCCTAAGCGCATTGCGAGTGAGAGGATCTGTGTTACACTGTCTGGCCCGGGAATAGCTCCCACACTTGAACAATAAATCATTCATAGTTGCGATCTTGGCATATCACAGCACTTTGGGTTCTCCTCACCTCTCTTCTCTTATCCTGTCCCTTTTCTTGAACTCTCCTTTCCTCACACCTCTTTCCGCTCCTCTAATGTGCTCAGCAATCCTCTCTTCTCTCATCTCTCTCTCTCTTTCTCCTCTCCTGATTACAGAGGAATGCATCACATCAACATCAGAATCCTCCCACTTTATGGTGCGCTGATTGAGGTTTTGCATCAGTATAACTTTATTTGTTTAGGTACACTCCCAATATGACCATAAAGTGACAAGTTGTACTTTGGCCTTGGAAAAGAGAATGGAGTTTCTCCCAGCCAACAATCTCCCAAATAAAATTGATCGTTCATTTCATGTCTGTTTGTGGGTCATTGTTGTGCTTTAATTAGTTACCACATTCATGTACAAATACACGGCCACTCCACTTTAGGATAAAACCCTCGTGAAGCGCCTTTTCCATCCGCCTCTTTGTTTTGACCTCTCATACTGTGCCTCAATCACACTGATATTTCAATTTCCCACATCAATGGTCATAGTGGAAATGTGTAATGGCTGTTTTTGGCACTTAGCTCAAGTGTGGGATTGGTCAGGAGGCTATCAAGTGATTTGTTTTGGATTGGCAAATGGAATTTCCCTTGAACTTTCCAGGACTGAAAAGTTTCAATGAGTTTAAGTCTTTACAAAACTGGCTCGTGAGGCGTAATTTAGACATTTTAACCCAACGTTTGTGAGTGCTAGAGAGCAAAATCCAAAATGTGAGGGTATATATATGTATATACAATGGATGCCATTTAATTCAGATATGTCAGGGCGTTTTGTCTGAATTAACCAGCGTCCAAAGCTATCTCAGGTCAACACATTAAACAGCAAAACACAAAATATTTTGGATGCTGGAAATCTGAAAACAAAAAACAATGCTCCATGGCAGCATCCATGGAGAAAGGAAAGTGAGTCAACATTTCGGGTCCACGAAACAGCAGCCACGTTAAAAAGCACCCAGTTGTCTTCATCGCAGGACCTATTTACAGCACCAATTACAGGACACCAGGTCTGTGGGTGTGTAAAGGTCACAGAGAAGTCCAACTTACCAAGGTCGTGGCCAAACTCGCTGCTTCAGTTTGAGGACGGGCCCATTGAGCCCCAGACCCTTGACGGATGCTCTTTGGAGCCACACAAGAAGAGCATGGACTATCTCTGGATCTTTTCATCGGCATTTTCTCTGCTTAAAGAGACCAACATGGCCTTTAGCTCAAGTGGCAGGTGTGTCACGTGGCTTATGTCCACTGTCAAAGAGGCAACGTCTTGTGGCTAGTTCTCATAGAGGAGTCACTGGCGTCTCCTTCTTGACTCTGTCTAAAACTTCTAGCTTCTGCAGGAGCATTAGAGACACTTTCCTCTACATGATATTTATGCAGACTGATTGCGAGGGACGAGAGCTCTGTGTTTTTTTTGTTTGTTTATTTTACACACACTTGCTGTGCAAGAGAATTAAGTGGATTTAGCACAACAAATCCTCAAAGGCAGCATTTTCGCAGCGCATGAAAAGACCAGCGAGCTAATCTTCACAAAATGCTCCAGTGATCTGATTATCAAAAAAGCGCCACGCAGCAATGACCACCAGCACGACATTCTATCTGAATCAACCAGATTTATGTTCAAATGAACCAGAATATTTTAAATAGACGCTTACAACAGAAAGGAATTGGGACCTGGCATTTTGTCCAAAATAAACGGCGCCCCTTGTCCATTGTTAACAAGCATTAATGTTATACATTAATATATAATATATTATACATGTACGGCCTCTGCTGTACATGAATAATCTAAATCATTGTCTGCACAATATGATCCACTGCGCCTTATAAGTGCAAGGTGTTGTTATAAGGTGGGTATTAAGGCAAACGGATTGTATATTAAAATAAATAAGAGTTTTTATTTACAGTTATTATCAAAAGACACAATTACTAACACGGACATGGACGCAAGTAACTGTTGACAATCAGACAATGGAAAGTCTGTAGTTTTGTTTTCTGGTCTCAGTTGGTCGCTCTCTTCTCTCTGAAAATATAATCTGATGAATCTTACACAGTTGTCATTCTTGTGCAAGTTCACATTACCTCCTTGCTTTTGTATTTTATGTCTTTCGATATAAAACCCTACATTTAATTTGCCTTTTTATCTGCATTATTTACTCCATGCCGAACCTTTTAAATGACAGATATATTTGGAATGTCCTTCCTCTATTCAAAAACCTTGCCATTTAAGTACGTTGCCTTTCATTATTTGTAACCTGAAAATATACACACAGCAGCCAAGAACACCATGTTTGAGATAAGAGGGAAATATTTAAGGTTGGAGCTACGGAGATTGGGTGGAGAGGCATTGGAGAAGTCAACAGGACAGAGGCATGGATGAGGTTCCAACCACAGAGTGGGGTGAGAGCTTAAGTAAGGTTTGAAGCACACCTTGAAATTGAGCAGAAATGCAAATTGATGAACTCACTGATTAAATCCAAGTGAGGGCCAGTGATTTTGGGGGGGAGTCAGAGCGAGGAGCAAGAACAATTAGAATGGTTTTAGTCTTGATGACCTTCAACTGAAGGAAGTCAAGGTTCATTAAGGATTTGATGTCTGACAGGACATGGATCACAACAGTCCTGGTGTGGAGGCTGGCAGTGGAAAAGTAGAGTTGAGTGTCACCCGCATGCACGGTTTCTCTAATAAGGACAAGATTTTCCCTTTCATTCCTTGTTCTCCTCTACCTTCTCTCCTTCTCCTCTTTCTCTCTCCTGCCCCTCTTCAATTCCGGTTTCATACCCAAGCAAAGCAATGTGTCTTACTCCACACACTTCTGTTTACTGAGCAGTAAGTAGGAACTTGGTTGTTTGATGATTGGCGGATCGCTTTCCGGTAGTAATAATCCCTCCAAATAATTAATAGTATTATTGTAACCTCCTTTCACTGGGATCACAGGAAATTGCATTCTGTCCCGACTCCTGCAGACATCTCAGTCTTACACGCACTTAGGCATGAGAAGATTTTGTGAATGAAGTGTTCCTCAGTGATAGTGACTAAGAACTAGCTCTGTCAACAGTTTCCAAATGAAGAGCTACCTCAAGGTGCTGGCAACAAAGAAATGTCTCCAACACAATGGCCGACCTGGTTAACAATCTTAAATCGTTCCTTTTCTGACACAGTCAGGACCATCTTCCCGACGGCTGCTTCCTTGGATCACAGAATTGTCCCGCGTAGAAACAAACCATTCTGTCCATCATACCTAGGCTGGTGCGAACGTTCTTCTGCTGTGCCTCACCCCCACACCCACCTACTTTACTACTCCTGATCTATCACACTCCCATTTACAATTCTCCAATCCTCTCTATGACTGACGCAGGCGCTGATCCTGAAAGGAAGGTCCTTCCTTTGTGGTGAGAATAATATTGAAGCGAAGCCGAGGGTCTTGAAAACCGTAGCGTTTGTGCAGTAACACACTTTTATGAAAGGCACTCACTCAGTTGGAATAAAACTCAATCATTGTCATTCAAAAAGCTATTTGACAATTAATTCAATATTTGAGGGACCTCTGTGCCTTGTGGCGGATCAACCGATAGTGCTATTTTTGCAAGAATTGCGCACAGACTCGAAACACATGGTGCTGGACAGGATACATCTCCCCCTCCCCCAACCCGGAAAGTGCTAAGCATGTCCTGGGCATCCCTGATGCCCTCAACATCACAATAATAGTCAGAATAATTCAGTAATCAGGTGTACTCTATTCAGCCTCTCGAGCCTGTTCTGCCATTCTATTAGATCACAGAATCATACAGCACAGAAGGAGGCCATTCGGCCCATCGTGTCTGTATTGGCTCTTTGAAACTATCAAATCAATCGCATTCCCCCGCTCTCTCCCCATAGCCCTGCAAACTTGTCCTCCCAAATAATTATTTACTTCTCTCTTAAAAGTTGTTATAAATTCGGCTTCCATCAGCCTTTCAGGAAATGCATTCCAGATCCGAACAACTCGTTGTGTGAAAAAAATTCTCCTCCTCTCCGCTCTGTTTCTTTGAACAACTATTTTAAATCGATGCCTTCGGGTTACCGACCCACCCAGCAGTGGAAATAGTTTTTCATTTTTCACCCTATCGAATCCCCTCACAGCTTTGAAAACTTGAAAACTATTAAATCTTCTATTAACCTTCTCCGCTCCAAAGAGAATAATCCCAGCTTCTCTAGCCTCTCACGCCTAATCTGTACCTAAAGTCCAATTACCCAGCCTTCCGCAATATCCTTTAATATCCTGACCTAACAAATATCTATCCACTTCCGTCTTGAAAATGTGCCTTTTTGGGGTAGAGAGTTCCAGATTTCCATTAGCCTTTGGGTGAAAACTGCCTCCTAATTTAATTCCTAAACGGCCTAGCTCTAATTTTAAGATTATACCCCTTGTTCTGGAATCCCCCATCAGAGGAAATCTATCTCCCCAATCTAATCCGCTGCACCTCCTCCTTATTCTATCTTTAAATGATCACTTGTTGAAACTGGTCATCATGGTTTATGACAATCCCCTCAAATGAAGCTTCACCATTTCATTTACACCTCACCATCCTCACCTCACCTCTCCCCCACCTGTTACCGGCCATTGGTGCCTCTTCCCCCTCATTACCATTCGGTCTCTCACTTACACGCTAAGCACAGAGCAAAGTTGTACAAAATATAAAACCGGAGAATAAATGATTAGAAGTTAAAAGAGATTACAAAATGCAAATCAGGTTCAGATCAACCAATATCAAGTTAGAGAGTACAAATAAGCCTCAGGGTAGGAATGGATGAAAAGCGATCGGGTTGGGATAGTCTTCTTTCGGGGGGGGGGGTTTGGGGATGGTCAGCCGGGTGTCTGACTCATGCGGAAACCCATCAACGTGCTTAAGAGTATGCAAACCAACCTGAGAATTCCAATGCGTCCCACCTGCACGTGGAAATCCCAGAGGTAGACTGTTGGAATGGAATATGGTGAGACTGGTTATCATGTTAACAGCTCTGTGTTTCAAGGTCAGAAGGTGAGGTGTGAGGTGAGCTCCCGGAGCAACCTAGGCGGGTATGAGACAGTGAACAAGCAGTGTGAAACTGCAGGATGAGAGAGAGAGGGAGCCCGAGGAGGGCAGAGAGCCACTGCGGTCAGGAGGTCTTGCGGGAGAGGAAAGTGCGAATGTTGAAGGTTCGTCTGCCACAGAGCCATTCCTTCCACATGGCTGCCCCCTCCTCTCCGCCCACATAGACTCCGTCAACCTTGTTAATGGAGACGATGCAGTCACGGGTGACTGAGCCCTCGCTCAGTGGGGGGGCATTCTCATCAGTAATGGTGATGCATTGCTTCTCCATATTCTCTCTATCCCGGTGGTAGAAGTAGTTAAAGTTGGAGACTATGACAGGAACGGGCAGGGCGATGGTTAACACCCCAGCGATGGCGCACAGCATGCCCACCAACTTGCCCCCCAGAGTGATGGGGCACATGTCCCCATAGCCCACTGTGGTCATGGTCACCACCGCCCACCAGAAGCCATCGGGGATGCTGGAGAACTGCGAGTTCGGCTCATCCACCTCGGCAAAGTAGACGGCGCTAGAGAAGAGGATGACCCCGATGAAGAGGAAGAAGATAAGGAGCCCCAGCTCCTTCAGGCTGGCTTTCAGGGTTTTCCCCAGGATCTGCAGCCCCTTGGAGTGTCTGGAGAGCTTGAAGATCCTGAAAACTCGCACAAGGCGGATGATCCTCAGGATGGTAAGTGACGTGGTCTGCTGCTGTCCATCGGCTTCTTGTTGTTCCTGTACCAGTTCGGTGATGAGAGTGACAAAGTATGGGATGATGGACATCAGGTCAATGATGTTCATGATTGCCTTGAAGAACTCGGGCTTGCTGGGGCAAGCAGCGAACCTGATACACAGTTCTGCAAAGAACCAGAAGATGCAGGCGGTCTCCACCAGGAAGAAAGGGTCACTGAAGATGTTATGTTGGGAGCTGGACTCCAGGGCCTGACTCAAGTTAGCAGGCTGGGTGGAATCTCTCAACTCACGGTTGTCCTGGAATTCAGGGAGAGTCTCCAGGCAGAAGTTGACGATGGACACCACAATGATGGAGACGGAGACCAGCGCAGCACCTCTGGCAGCACCAGAACTCTCCGGGTACTCAAAGAGGAGCCAGAACTGCTTGTGGGTCTGGTTGACCGGTAACTGGACCTCTTCCTCTTTGATGAAACCCTCGCCCTCCCGGAACTGTTCCATCACCGCCGCGCCCAGCTCGTAGAAGTGGATCTCTTCCGCAAAGACGTCCAATGGCACGTTGGCCGGACGCCGGATCTTGCCCTTGGACTGGTAGTAGTACAGGATCCCGTCGAAACTGGGGCGGTTGCGATCGAAGAAGTATTCGTTCCTCACACAGTCGAAGAACTTCATCCTCTTGTAGGGGTTGCCCAGGAGGGTGTCAGGGAACTGACTGAAGGTGCGGAGCCTGGTCTCGAAGCGCAGCCCGGCGATGTTCACCATGATCTTCTGCTCGCCCTCCTCTTGCTCCAGCTTGCTCAGCTCCTCGCTGTGCTCCTGCTCTGCCAGGATCAGCATGTAGTCCAAGCTGCCCTCGTTGCTCAGGAGCATCCTCCAGGTGGAGAAGAGGCTGGTGCAGCTGTGACGAGACCGGCTCCGATGCTGTTGCTGTGTGTGCCACCCTCGCTCCCCCTCCTCCTGACCTCCCAGCTCGTCAGCCAGGTCCAAGCTGATCAGAGCCATCTCCATCTCCGGCTCGGTCATCTCAGCACTCGACTGCTCACAGATACTGCTCGGATCCCAGCGGAGCAGCTGCTGGAGAGACAAAGAGACCGGAGAGTGAGGGAGGGAGAGATGGAGAGAGATAGGGAGGGAAGGAGGGAGGGAGGTGAGGGGCTGAGTGAGGGAGGGATAGAGAGAGTTGCGGGAGGGGGAGAGTTAAAGGTGGGAGGGAGGGAAAGAGAGGTAGATTGATTTCAAGATCCTCATCCTCACCTACAAGGCCATTCACGGCCTCGCTCCCTCCTACCTCTCCAACCTACTATCCCCCTACCTACCTGCCCGTACCCTCCATTCCTCTGGCTCCGGTCTGCTCCACGTCCCCGCCCCAACCGCCCTACCATCGGTGGTCGGGCCTTCAGCCTCTCAGCCCCCAGGCTCTGGAACTCCATCCCCCAGTGCCTTCGCCTTGCTTCTCCCTTTCCTCCTTCAAGGCCGGTCTCAAAACCTTTCTCTTTGACCGTGCCTTCAGCTCCCCTCTCGACTCTCTTCCCCCTCCTCGCTCCCTCCCTTCCCTCCCTCACCCTGACCATTTCCCCCCTGCTCGGGTCATGACCCAACTGTGCAGCGCCTTGGGACGTCCTCCTGACGTGAAAGGCGCTTTATAAATGGAATCTTGTTGTTGTTGTAGAGAGTGAGGGAGAAAGTGGGGGAGGGACACCGAGACTGGAGGGACGAACATATGGACAGGGGAGGTTTACAGATGGGTAAGGGAGATGGAAAAGTATCAGTGATGGGGCTCAGAGCCAGCTCATCACCCTGAGCCTCCAGCCATCGGCCAGCACAGGGCTAAAGCTATTGCTGTTGTGGAATTCAAACCGTCATACACAGGATTCATCCTCTCGCTCATGAAGAGGTTAGTTTTTAAAACGTGCACGAATTATCCTCGGTCAACCAGCCTTCAACAGTCCCTGGTACCGAGCACCAGCAGACAGTACTCTTAGCCCTACCCAGAGTACTGTCTGCTGGTGCATTGGTCTTGTACATCCACCTGTTACACATAAAATTCAGCTTTTATCACACTCAGAAATCAATGTGTCAATTAGAGAAATCAGTGTCAATCATATTGTGCACATCAGCGTCCTGTACACATAGCAATCAGTCTTTCTACGTCCGAAACACTGACTGTCCAGCGCTTTGGGACGTCCTTCCCACCTCTGTTGTCCTACATAGAAACCAGTGCCTGCTGGTTGAAGGGTGGTGTGGGCTGGTTGACTGAGGATGATTCCTACACGTTTCAAATGAACCTTTTTGTGGGCTAGAGGATGAATCCTGTGTATGACGGGTTGCATTCCACAACAACAACAAGGACTTACTTTTGCCCAGCACTCTCCCACAAAATGTCAGCTCACCTCAGTCATTAACAGTCCCGCCTCTGCTAGATTGTGTGTTTTAAGTCCCATGGCAGAGCTTGAGCTCCCAGTCTAGGCTGATCTCCATTGCAAACACTCAGCAATTCCCTACGTTGTCAGATGCCGTCCTGAGGATGAGACATTAAACTGAGATCCCGCCTGCCTGTTCAATCAGACAATAGGATCCCTTGATATTGTTCCACAACAGAAGGAAGAAGAACAGTGATCTACACTGACCTGTCACCCAGACGCGTGGCAGTGGAGTTGGCTACATGGTGGGCACATCTCTTTGCCAAAGACCCTCGTACGAGGACTTAATTAAACAGTTGGTGTAAAGTGAATCTGGTAAACGTCATTGGACTTGGACCTCTAGAGCATTTAGGTGGCAAGCACATCACAGGTTTTCTACCACATTCAAGGGAGATATCCATTGGACAGCTTGAGGAAATTGGAGCTTGGGACAGCAGCTGCTGGAAGGTGTTACTGGGTGTTCAATTCCTGAATTTGCCCTCATATATCCAGGGCTAAGTATTGACTTTGAATGGTGCACAGAGAGAGAAGCTATACTTCTAACTGGTGGAACCGTTGATCAGTGGATGATCAGGGTGGAGGGTGTCCAGACTGAGGCTCTCACACACTTCATGCTGAACTGTGCTGCTCACCAAGTAGCTAACAAGAAGCTTCTAATAATAGATATCAATCAAGCGAGGGCTTGACAGACGTCTAAAGCCTTTCTTCCTTGAACATAAGAAATGTTAGACAAAAAAATGACCAAGGTCCATCGAGTCACCTTCCACCTTCCTGGCGGTCGCATGCACATATGTACCGAACTACCTATGTATTATATCCCATGATGTTATTTCCTAAAATAAAACTATCTAATCTGTTTGAAGGAATCAACACTTCCTGCTTCAACCGTCTCCCTAGGGAGCCTGTTCCACAGGTTTACTATTCACTCACCAAAATAGTGTTTCCATAGATTAGTTCTGAATTTACCCCCCTTCAATCGCAGGCCGTATCCTCTGGTTTTACTATTTACTGTTGAAGGGAGGTAAGCAGGGGCTCCTTGGGGTTCAACTGGCTCCAATAATAATGTATCTAGCAATGAAAATCAGAATCAAGTCTGTCCTCTGCAGCAATCTCGGTAGTCTAGTTCCGGAGCCAACCCAGTATGCAGCACTTCAGGAACCTGTTGACAAAAGGACTTAGGGTGTGGAAAGTGTGGGAATGTTGTTCATCTTTGGGCAATCGCACATCGCAATTTGGGTTTAACAAGGGGAGGCAGACCAATCACTGGGAGCAGAAATTCTTCCTACTCAGATCCTGTTAACTCTGCAAGCCAAAGGCCTAATGGGTAGGTTGATCCTAGGATGGAGAAGCAACGGGAAGATTGTCAGACAATGTTCAAAATGGCAAGTTGCACAGTCTTAGCTGATCAAACTCCAGAAGTACCCAATACACACACTGGGATCCTCTAACTTTGACTCTTACCAACCTGTGCCAAGTACTCTCCGGAATTAAATGAGCAGGGAAGAGAATCCACTCCATTCCACTCACCTGGCTTCCCAAATAAAACCAGAATGGAGTATCCAGACCGGCAATTTGTGGGACCCCGCTGTGTGCAAATTGGCCATGGAGTTTTCCTACTAATACATGGTCAAGAGTTGACAAATAATTAGCTCCTACTCACTCATTCAGCAGCTGCTGTCACCCATAATAGACCCCAAACCAAGAGCTTTCCAGTAAGTAACAAGTAGGTCTTTTACCTGTTGCTGAGTCAGATAATGCTTCTGAGCACTTGTGCAGTGAGCAGGTGAAGGATGTACAAGGCTGAACCTTGAAGGTGGATTAGGGTAACTTAACTTAAATAAGATCTGACTTCAGAAATACTATACAGTAGGAACCAGATACCTGGCTGAGCACACTTGTGACCTGCTCAGGAGCGCCCAATCCCAGAGTGTGCAGAAGGCAGACTGTGGCAGCTCTCCACACACGGACCCTTTCCCACACGCGAGAAAGCTCGTCCTTCCAAGCACGCAGAGGCAAGATAGAAAAGCTGGGATCAAATTGAATTAAAATTGGTCATTTAAATAAAATTAGCCACTCACTTCACGGCTGTTTGTGGGACATTGCTGCATGCATTTGTGCTGCCACATTTGCCTACAAATACACTCCATTTCACAGTAAATCCTGTAAAGTGCTTTGAGACATCCTTCCTATGTGATAAGGTGTTATACCGTATGCAAGGATTATTATTATCATTATCAGAAACCTAAAGACGCAGCTGGTTTCAGCTTAAGACTATAAAACCGAGGCAATGTAGATTTTTAAAAATAAAATTCAATATTAAATTGAACACCAATTCTGTCTCTGGCATCAAGGCAGCACCTGCCTCTGTCTTGGCTCTAATGCAGTGCCTGTCTAGCATAAGAGTTTTTTGTTCCTGTTCTTTGGTCCGTTACTATTCTAATGCGATGTAGCCTGAGATCATATTCCCGAACCCCCTTCCCAACCCCAGCTCTCCCAACCCTCTGATTTCCCTTACTCGCAGCTGCCAGGAAAGCGATGTGGGGAGTGTGCGGGTAACAGACAATGTCTGTGGTGAACATAAGAAATGTAAGATGAAACAAAGGCTAAGGTCCATTGAGTTTGCCTTCCACCATCCGGGCGGTCGCATGCACATATGTCCTGAACTACCTATGTACTATATCCCATAATGTTATTTCCTAACAGAAAACTATCTATAAGAAATGCTGGGTAAAGGACAGTGATTCCAGCGATTGATGATCAAATGGTTTGTGGATGTCTCGCCTGAGGGTCAGAAGGTTGTAGATTACTGTCTCACATCAGGACTTTCATCTCATTGTCTAGGCTGACACTCTCAATACAGTAATAAAGGAAGCATTGCAATGTTGGAGGTTCATTGTTGGGACGTCCTCCCGATGTGCAAGGTGCTATACAAATGTCATTTGTTGTTGTTTTTGTTCAGTCCATAGATTCATAGAATGTTACGGCACAGAAGGAGGCCATTCGGCCCATCGAGTCTGTGCCGGCTCTTTGACAGAGCAAGTCACTTTCATTAACCCCAATCACCAGCTTTCTCCCCATAACCCTGCAAACCCGTCTTCCCCAGATACCTATTCAGTTCTCTCTTAAAAGTTCCTAGGATGAGACATTAAACCGAGCTCTTGTCTGTCTGTTCAGATGAGCATCAAAGATCCCTGGGCACTATTCAAAAATAAAATTGGCCTTTTACTTCATATTTATGGGATATTGCCGTGTACAAATTGGCTGCACTGTTCATCTATGAATGCATGGTGGTTCCACTTTGCAGTACCTTTCTGAAGCTCTTTGACAAGTCAAGTCTTTAACATCAAATGCAAGGATGATTATTAATTCAGTATTATCCTGGAGTGCCCTGAGACCAGGAGCTTAGTTCTGTGTTAGGAAGGGATGTTACTTATCGGATTGAAATGTCTCCACTTTACAGTAATTACTGTCAAGTGTAATGATTCTTTTTGTCGGCAAACCTCCACAGCCAATGTGGCCATATCAAAGTCCAACAAGCAGCCGTGAGGTGAAAGAACGCTACACTTAAACAGCCGGGACAGCGAGCCCCGTTGCTCGGAGTAT